CTTCACCGTTTATAGCCTGGAGAAAATCCGTGCGTCAATTTTACTGATCGTCGTGGTTGGAGCACTGTGTTATGGATTCAGCACCGCCAGCAAGGCCAGCTGTACCCGTTAGCCGACATGGTGAGAGGTAGTGGTATCACGATATAACCTACAGTAGGTGCACATGTTCGAGGCACATCCCGGCGACTCCCAGTCCTGGTCCGTGCAACTGTATCGTCCATACAGCTTGGTAGGAGGATAGTGGCAAAGACCATTGTCGAGACACTCCCAGTTGTCAGGACAACAGGCCGAACCCTCTGCTGTAGAGCATGGCTTCTCTGTGTCTGGCGCCCTGCTTCGATTAGGGTAATCTGCGACAGTCAGTACTTTGAGGAGTGCGACAACATGTATGTGCGACATACAGCATTGTTGGCCGGCCGCCTGTGCCGCAACAGCAGCAATGGCAGCAGCGCGCAGCCATATGGATCTAGGAGGCATGTCGGGCGACAGAAGGATCAGGTAGCTCAGTCTGTCCAAGAAGAGGTGGCGAGGCAAGGGCCTCGATCGAAGCCTGCGATCAAAGAAGGTGAGCCCTGTGGCTGGGGTGGATCCAAGCGGGCAAGGTGAAGGGAAAGCAGCAGCAAAGGGGAGAGAGGGAAAAGTACACTTGGGTGACGCAGGACGAGAAAGCAAACTCTCTCGATCAAGCCAGAATGATGACAGGGCTGGGGACACCAAAAAGAGAAAAAGAGAAAAAAGACAAGAGAGAGAGAGAGAGAGAGAGAGAGCGAGCCTGTAAGCAAACTGGACTAGTCGTCTAGCATGAATTACATTACTGCGAGATGATCACAGCGGCGTCTTTCCTATAGCGTGCGTGCACACCCATAGCGTGCGACCGTTGGGTGCACCATCATCCATCTCCACCATCACCATCCCCATCACCATCACCATCACTTCTCTTCCTCGTCCTCCTTCTCTCCCCTCACCCCCTCCTACCCACACACACACACACACACACACACACCCATCTTCTCGACGAGGCTACAAAGGACAATTGGGCCTTCTCGGAAGCCCCGTGTAGCCGTGCGAGGTTTGTTGCCAGCCTTTGGTTTTGCCGAAGTAGGGAAAGCACGGTCACGGTGAGGTCATTCTTCACCTCTTGTCCCTGCGCTAGCATCCGTATTGCCACTGAAACGGGCTAGCCGGAGACTCCAACACTGTCGCACTGCCCGTCGATCCCCATCCTCCCCCCCCCCCCTTCCCCTCGCACTCGCGGATGCAGCGCCGAAGCAGCTGTCAAGCTTGTCAAGTGTAGGTTGTTGGAATGTGGAATCTGGGAAAGAGAAATTACGCTTTGCCCCCTTCTTCCTCTTCTTCGCTGCCCGTCATGGTCATGATGCAAAAGATTTCAAAACTACCCAAGAAGAAAACATCCGACTCCATCCATCATCATCATCATCATGATTCAAGACAGGACGGCAATGCGACACTGCGAGACAGACAGGACCGACCATGGCAAACCTGCTTTCTGCGCACGCATCGCCCATTCAACATGCGAATGGCAAAAAGCGTTTTACCCATGTGCGATACCACCAACCTGTTAATTGTACTCTAACCAACATCTATCCAATCGTAACGAGATCGCTTGGGGGAGAATACGCCATGTCAACCATCCAAAGCTCCGCGGCTTCCCATTCTCTGCTCCCTTGCCAGCGCACCCAACAAACCAACAACAAAAGCCAAGGGGAAATAGAAATCATCGCTCGTACTCTCAAGTCACTGGCTGCACACTAGCGGGCGAGCGAGAGGCGAGAGGCGAGAGGCGAATGTAGCGCGAGCTTCAGTACCTACGAAATAATACGGAGGGAAGCAACTCTAGTCATGCAACGAACCACACTGTCAAGTCTCACACGCCGCAGAGCAAAATAGAAACCCCAGAGTCAAAACAAGAACCTTTCTTCTTCCCCTTTCGGCCCGTCTTCTCTGCCTGCAACCGTTGCTTCCATGCTCGCGGCGATAAGCTTGACCACACCCTGCGCTAGACACCGTTTTGCTGGGCCGAGGGGAGGGATCATCGCCTTGTTTCTATTTTTGAACACTTGATCAGATCGTGCTCGTGCTTTTGCCCGTCGAAATTCAAAAAAAATCTTCCCATGTCATGTTCTCGCTCGCCCGTTCTTCAACAGATTCGTTTCGATTTCATGTTGTACAGGTATGCTAAGCCGGTTGCACACTTATTGCTTCACCACATCACCTGTGTACCCAGTCCAGTCTACATACTCTCAAACCCGCGCCGCCCACAGTCCTGTACCCACCCCACCCACGCAACACTCCAACCCCCACCCTCTCCATCTGACTAATCCAATCTCGGCCCCCCCACACCCTACATACCACCGAACACAAGGTACAAGTACCTGTACCTATTCCAGGGGCACTGTGGAGAAGAAGAAGAAGAAGAAGAAACAACCCCATGTACACAGTTGTATGAACTCTCCTATACGGTAGGCTACCCGATGACCTGTCCCTGGGCCCTCCTTCTCCACATAATGCAGTGGTGGCATGTCATATGACCATGGGTTTAGCGTCGGGCGACTTGGGCTTTACTCTGAGTGGTTAGAATATCCCTGTAGGTTCAAGTCCACGTCACAGCGGCAAATTTTCATGGTTATATAAACTAGCCTATAGTTAAGTATAAATTAAGGTAATTTAAGCAAGTAAACGCAGTTTTTATTACTATCTTTTTTAAACATGTTTTAAACCTATTCTTAATAATATATAGGCGTTCCTAAATACTATACTAGAGTTTAGTATAGCAGTACTAGATAATATATCTAAACTAGATAGTAATATTAGAGATAAATTTAGGTAACTATATAAAGTGCTAGAGGAGGATAGTAGTAGTAGTATTAAGGAAGTAAGTAAAAGTAAATAGAACAAGTTTAGAACAGGTTAGTAACACGTTATAGGGGCATAATATATACCTTACTTGTAGTAATAGTTAAAGACTACTATTTACACTAGCAATTATTAAGCATATAGCTATTCTCCTAGTATACCCTTAATTATATAGCTAAGGGTATAGGTATATAATACTAGTTTAGTAATATAAAGATAGCTCTTACCTAATAAGAGAAGAGGTGCTTATATAGGCTATATAGGTAATATATTAAGAACATGTTCTTAAATTATTCTAATTCTAGTAGGTATAATACTCCTGCTAGTCTATCTATCTTAATAGGCCTATAACTTTACTATTCTTTAATAGCTAGCTAGTAAGCTAGTATAAATACTAATACTCTAGGGTAAAAGCGTGTAAGTATCTTAAGAACACGTTATAAATATATTCTTATTACATTATTAATAATATATTATATAATTAGATCTAAACCTTAAAAAGTATAGTACTTAAGAAAATTCTATAAAGAGAACTATAAATAAGAAGCTATTATTATAGCCTTATTAAGCGCTTCTCTTTAAGGATTTATAAGGACTACTAGGTGTCTTATTATCCTATAATAAGGACTATAGTAAATTAGGTAGGGAGTAAAACTTAAACATGTTTAAAACGTGTTAATAACAAGTTAGTAAATTATAGAATAGGCTTAACTATATATTAGCTATTAGAACTATAGCCTAATATCTACTACTAGGAAAAAATATTATTTTAGTTAGGTACTACTAGAGGTAAACTCTATATATCTATAAGGTCTTCTAACTAGGGAGATATTAAATCTTTCTAGTAGTCCTGCTTTATATTCTATAGTTAAGCTATAGTTAAGCTAGATAAAGAAGTGTAGTAGGTATATTACAACCTATTCCTAACACGTTCCTAATATATTCTAGGCGTTAATTATTTATAAGGGCAAGGATCTCTATTTAAAATCCTGTGTAAAGTTACCTTCTAAGTAATTATACTAATAGATATAGTAGTAATACCTTTTTTTACTATTATTTCTTTTAGTATATATATATATATACCTCCTCCTCCCTTAACACTATCTAATAGTAATATTAAGGAAGTAGTAAAGGTGTTATAGCCTATGCTTACTCTATAGCTTATATAATATAAGTTATTTGCAACCTATTATAAATATGTTCCTAACTTATTATAGCCTAGTTCCTAAACTTAACCTAGCTCTAAACCTATCTCTAACTTAAAGGTTTCTATTCTATTAAAGAAATGCATATTAGCTTTATAAATAAAGATAAAATCTTACGTATTATAAAGTGTGAAAAGCTTCTATAGTTCCTATTTAAGAGTAGCCTTAGAGGAGTATACTATAAGTAGAGGATAAAGTATTAGGATCCTAAAACTATATGTGGTGTAAGAGAACAGGTTTAGAACACGTTGCTAACACGTTACTATAGGTGTATATACAGCAAATCTTTATATTAAGCTTAGGTAACTTAATTATTTACCTTTTTAAAGAGTAGGTATTAATTCTATTAGATTAAGACACGTTCTAGATAGATATGTTATATAAGAGGTTGTATAGGGTATAGGTAGAGATTCTAATAGTAATCTTCTACCTATAGGAAAAGAAGCGTACGCATTAAAAACAGGTTTGTAACACGTTTCTAACATATTATAGTTATTACACTTAGCTAAATTATTATAGATAAGGATATAACTAAGATATATTAAGTTGCTATTACTAACTTCTTTTAGAAGTGTAAAGCACTTATAAAAAGATAAGTATTATAGAGGCATATTTACTTACAGGGATTCTATAGGACTACTATTAATATATATAACAAGTAGATAATAGGCAAGTTTTATAGCGCACTGTAACATGTTTATAACGTGTTTCTAACTTGTTTCTAGGACTTAGGCGCTATCTCTAGTTAATTAATCCCTACAAGCGTAACTAGCGCTAGTAACTTTAATCTTGTATAAGATTTTATTAAGTATATCTACAAAGAAGTATTCACAAAGTATATAAAAGAGAGCTAGATAATACTACCTCTTTATATCTAAGTGAATTACTACAGGCATTAATAGTAGAGGAATACTTTTAGCTTGCTAACCTCGCTCTTATATAAGTAAATATATTCTAAACCTATTCTAAACATGTTCCTAACTTGTTCTTATATAATTAGAACATGAACCCTCTAAAGATACCTAAAACTAGGTAATCTATAAGAAAAACCTAGTAATTACTGCTAGGATTATGTAATGCTGTAGTAAAATATTAAAAGAGGTATAGGAAAAACTAGAATCTTATTTAAATATAGCTAAGCAAGTAGGCTAGAAAGGATATAAAACTAGTAAGCATATAAGTATTCTTAAGGCCACTTAGAAGTAAGTTTATAACCTATTCTTAACCTATTAGAATTATATAAGTAATATTATATAGTGCATACTAGATAGATCTATAGGATATAAAAGAGTTTAAAGCCTAGAGTAAGTTTAGAATATACTATAACTATAGAACTCCTAATAGGCTTAAGCAAAGGTACCTTAAAAAGCTTTAGAGGGGAGAAAGTAAGTCTTACGCTAGTGTTATACACATTTACTAATTAAAACATGTTTAGAACGTGTTTAGAACGCGTCCTATAATAATAATAACACTCTAGATAATAATTAAAGTAAGTCTTGCTATATCTAACTTAACTAGATATATCTTAGTCCTAATAAGAAATAAAAGAGCACGCTTAAAAGCCTAAAGCTAGAGGGCAAGTAGTAGAGCGGTATTAGAAAGAAGTTTACTAGCCCCTTTTCTATCTTCTCTACTACTAGGCTCTTCTCCTCTACTAATAGCAACCTAAAGGTATGCTTCGCGAAACACGTTTATAACACGTTCCTAACTTATTATTAGTCTATAACTATAAACTTTGTAATAAAAGGCTCTTCTTAGTAATTAGGCTCTAAAGGAGAGAAAAGAAAAGCTAGAGGTAGATAAGGAAGAACTTGCACAGAAAAAGGCACTATTTAAATTGCAAAAGGCATAGTTTAAACTTAAGAAAGAGATAGCTACTTTTTATATAAGGTAGGGTTAGTCTATAAATATAGTAACTAGTTCCTAACTAGTTCTTAATATATTCTAGTCTATTACGTAAGTATATATAAGTAGATAAATATATATTCTTTCTTCTTCTCTTTCTTCTTCTTTCTTCTTATACTCTATAAGAACTTTTTATATTTAAGAGTTTAATACTATTTTATTATCTATCTTTCTTAATATTATTAGATATAACTAGTTAATATAGTCTATAAAGATCTTTTAAAGTTAGTATATAATAGAACGCGTTAGGAACACGTTATAAACTTGTTCTAATACTAAGTAGGATTTATACTACTAATATATTAAGCTTAAGTTACTTCTATCTAATACTAGGGTATTCTCTCCTATAATATCCTACCTAAATAATAGGTGTATAGTATTTCCTAGCAAGCTTTTCTACTAGGCTATTTAGGCTAGATTAGGGGTATAGGAACTTTGTAGAGTATATATACATGCAAGTTAGAACATGTTTATAATATATTAATAACTATTTTAGCGTTACTTCTCTAATAGAGGCAATCTTATCTACTACTTTAAGAAGTATTATCCTAAGGTTTAAATAGCCCTAGTAAACTATAGTAGAACCACAATATAAGGCATTACAGAAGCAAGGATCTTCTATAGGAGCTTAATAGTAAATACTTAAGAATATATTCTAAACACGTTAATAATACGTTCTCTGCTAGTAGAGTAGACTACACTAAGTGCCTCCTCTAAGGTTTAAGAACCCTCTAAGATAGCTAGTCTATAATAAGAAGTAGTAGCTAGAGTAGAGGCTAAAGAGGAAGTAGAGAGTAAAGAAGAGGAGTAAATAGTTGCTCCCCTTTACACTATAAATAATATTTAGCAAAAGTAGCAAAAAGGAGATATAAGTCTAGTCTCTTAAAACACATTTAGAATATATTAATAATATATTATAGCTAGACACCTATAAATACTAGATTCTTCTTTAATCTAAGGGACTACTAGAGCTTTATAATACCTATAAAAGTTAAAAGAAAAAGTTATATACTATTAAAGGACCCTATAAAAGTAAATAGTACTTTACTTTTAGTAGATAAAAAAAAAAAGAGAAGAGTAGAAAGTTTATTTTAGTAATTACTACTACCCCTTTAGGTTATATACTATTATATATTGTTTATTAGAACCTATTCTTAACACGTTCTTAATATGTTCCTACTTGTTACTATTATTATCTCCCTCCCCCTCTCTAGTATCTTCTCTATCCTCCCTATCCTCCCTAGGCTCTATAAAAGCATACTATAAGTAGAACTAGGCAGTATTCTAGCAGGAATTAGTAAGGTCTATACTAGTATTAAAGTAATAGTCTTAAAATATATTAGGAACAGGTTAATAATATATTATAAATAACTTACTATAGCTAGGATAATTATAAGCGTAGATAGTATAAGGAACCTAATAACCTTAAATCCTTAGTAGGGTAGATATAGTAATAAAGTTAAGCTATAATAAGTTAGTAATATATTTTTAATAGGTTCTTATAGGCTATACCTTATTACTATTATAGCTACTACAAGTCTTCTTCTAAATTATATTTAGGAGGGTATTAGTATTTATAGGGGGGCCTATAGTAGCTACTAGCTAGGCTTAGAGAACTTCTATAAAATATATTAGTAATAAGTTTTAAATATATTCTAAATAACTTATAGTAAGGAGTGTTCTAGTAATTATATATAACCTTTATATAGAAGTCTATATATATTAGTATAACAAGTTAAGAATAGGTTAATAATATATTTACTCTTTGCCTTATAGACCTCTATTATAGAGGGCTAGCTAGTCTTCTTAACCCTACTAACCTTATAGTAGGCTATATTAAGCCTATAATCTTTTTTAGTATAGGTATATAGAGTGCCCCTAGTACCTAGAATAGCCTAAGAATATTAGAACCTATTTAGAACACGTTTAGAACCTATTCTTACTCTACACAAGGTGCCCTTGTTATTAATCTTAGCATAGTAGTAGCGCTCTCTACTCTCTATCTTAACTACCCTATTAGGGCTAACTACAGGCTATACCCTAATATTATCTAGGACGTAGCTAAGGGTAAGGTACTATTAATAGTGCTTCTATAACCTATTAAGAATATATTCTAAACACGTTTTAATCTACTTATATAGGATAAGAGGGATGCGTTAGTAATAAGTATAGTAGTAGCAGCTTATAGTATTACTAGTATAGAATATATTTAGAATAGGTTTAGAACGTGTTACAAAATCTTACAGTATAATATTTAGTTAACCTCGCTTAGCTAGCTAGTAGAGCTTGGCACGGCCTAACCCTATACTAAATACAAGTTCACGCAGCGCTAATTCTATGGTTATATAAACTGCGCCCTCTATAATGCACATATTGTACACTGTGTAGTGTACATCCGCCTACCTAGATAAAAACAATTGGGGTTTCTGGAGTCCTGGCGCCCCACGCTTCTTGTCTGTGTGCGCTGCGTTAGAAAGATGTAACCAGCCTACTCTGCATGCACACGTCCACAGTACCTGTACTGCCTCAACTCAGGTACGGTATAATACCCGACCTACCCTGCAATCCCCGCTCGTGCTATAGCATCTTTTGTCAGAAAGGCCAGTGAAATGTAGGCTGTGGTGTGGAGTTTGCAGTGTACGGTGTTGGGGCTTGGGGATTGGGGATTAGGAATTAGGAACCAGGGACTTGGAATCATACACGAGACGCTAAACACTAGACACTAGACACTAGACACTAGACACTAGACACTAGACACTAGACACTAGACACAACTATACACTAGACACAACTATACACTGGACACAACTATACACTAGACACAACTATACACTAGACACAACTATACACTAGACACAACTATACACCAACCCCCAAAGAAACCATCCAGCACAACTGTTCACACTACTAGTAAAACAGCACAAAACATGCATAAGCCACATGCACATGTTGCATCAAAAGAAAAAGCCACGCCACAACGTCAATCTCCCACCCACGACTTCCCTCATCCCCACTTCCCCCCTCCCTGACCCCGGCAAAACCCCCCATTTTCACCGTTTTCCTGTTACAGTACAGTACAGTGCCTGTCTCATCATCCGCCCTGCCTCGTCCCATGCTACACTGTCTTGGCGGCGTACTAGCTATCCTTTGGGAATACATGGGTGTGTGCACTGTGCGTGTTTGTCTGTGCTTAGCCATCTGTCTCTCTCTCTCTCTCTCTCTCTCTCTCTCTCTCTCTAGGTGTGGGTGTGTGTCGGTACATGTGTATGGGTTGAAAATTGGGATTAAACACCGCATAACAAAGCCAAGCAAAGAAGAAACCAAGATTCAAAACACATCACGCTGGAATTGCTGGGTTTCGGGGGGAACGAGGGGTTGAAGGGGGAATGGTACTTGCATGGCTTATTGGTCCAACATTAAACGCCGGCCAACAAACGCGCTGAAATGGGCAGCCGCGTCCCCCGCCTTCCAAGCCAACATGTGGATCGAGGGGTTTCTGGTTCCCGCGGTGGTGTGTCTGTGGAGGGGATGGGGATGATGGCGAGTATAACACAAGAGCGTAAATGAGAAACTGTGTTGGATGCGGCACTTGTCTTTGTAAGCATAGGCAATGGACACATTCATCACACATGAATGAAAAGGTAGGTTATAGCATAATCAATCTTTTACCGAGTTCACATCTCACTTTGCACAATGCAGCGTGCTTGGAAGCTTTCATCATGGAGATTTCTTCTTTCATTCAAAGGATAAATCCCTCTTATATAAACTCATGTGCAGAAGGGTGGCCTCGCATTCCAGCAAAAGGCACACAAACCAGCCAACCCATCTTTCAGGCCCGGCACTATCCTCCTCATCATGTTCGTTATAAAAGTCATCGCTGTCGAATGGAAAAGCGAAACGCCTAGTGGCCGATCATGGGGCCCTTGGAGTCGTTGGTGATGCCAATGCGCTCGGAGTTCTAGAACAAGAATGATCAGTATGAAGCAGTGATATAAAGGCATCACAAGGATACAACATACCTCGCTCGACTGCACAGAGCCAGAGGTGAGGATCTTCTTGATGATCTCATCCTCGTTTGAAGTGCCGAATTCATTCTCCAGTTGTTGCTTGCTGGCCGTGTTTAGGATGCCCTGCTTGCCGTGCCTAGGAATCATATGGTTAGAGTCATGTCTTTGGCAGCACCCAGCCGTTGTCTTCTTTGTACACTCTGCTTGAGATCACAGCGGGGTAAGCCAGTACTTACTCAGGTACCAGAATCTTCCAGCCAGCAACTACGCTCGTAAGTGGGATACTCGAGTCTGCCTTCCACTTCTTGAGTTCCTCCTCGCTGTCAATAAAGACTGTGAACTGGTCGCCGCTGCTGCCCTTGTAGAAGACCTGGGTTTGTTGGGCGTTACCGCGAGCCATCTTGTGGGTTGCTGTGGGTGCGTGTGTATCTGGTAATGGGTATATGTGTATGAGAGTTTAGCGTAGCGAGATCCTAGGATACAAAAGGGCTGTGTATCGTGTATGGAACTGTGTTTCTGTGTCTGGAGGGGAAAGCTCTAGAGGGTGAGGGGCTTAATAGAGCTCGTGAGCTATGACAACTACGTCATTTGCCAAGATCACTCCAGTGTGGAGAGGGCCACGACTGCAAGCTGGGCTGGACCCATTTCCCTCACTTTGTTTGGACAAGTAGGAGCATCAAGGCTGCAATGCGGCTCTGGGCCTTTCTTTGAGGCTCTAGCGTTGCCGTGGTCGGCTGTGTCGCCGCGATATCCTGTGTTGACCTGGGACAGCATGGTGGTTTGCGTCCAGCATCGCACAAAATTGTTCAACAACGCCAGCAACGAAGAAATGCATGACATGGCTACTTGCAGGCTTGAAGTACAATTATGAAGCCTTGATTGCTACTATCCAAATATTACGCTTGCTTGCAACGTGCATATACCATCTCAGCCTGAGATCGCGTGCCCATCACACAAGACCGCATCCTATGACGTCATACCGTTCCTCTCCAAAGTTCAATCTGGCTTTGCGGGTGCCTTGCAGTAGGTAATTCTCATGGCTTTCCTGATCGGCATCATGTTTTGCGAATCATTTCAGTCCGTGTATTCAAAGTGTGTCGATGTAACAGATCGCTATGTGTGCTCGCAGTACTTGCTGTTGGTCGCATCAATAAAGCGTGATTCGTGACTTCGTGAAAATCCTCCATGATCCAAAATAAAACGTGACCAAAGCCATTTCTCTCAAACTTGAACGCCTGTACTCGATCGTAACGGTATGCTGAGGCCATTAGGTCCAAAACTTAAAGATTTTGCTTTTGCTTTTCAGAAACTTCTGCGACACACTCGTGGGCGCAGACTTGGACTCGCTACGTTGGTCCTCCTTCCTCCTCTCCTTCTCAACATCTTTGGGCCATGCAAAGTCGACCAGAGACTCTGGCTGATATAGAACGGTTGAGTCTGATCCTTGGGATATCGTCCTTTCCGGAACGCAAGCACTCGATTCAGATCTTGGCAGGCTGATGATGTGTCCCGATAATCGACGTACCTTCTTCGGCTTGCTTGCAGAAGCTTTCTCGCTCGACCGCTCTACACCTACAGCGCGATTTGCTAGACGGCGACGCCGACTTGCAGGCCTTACATCCTGGAGCTCAAAGTCTGTGGGCAAGAAAGCAGCCGGTGCGGTGTGGAAGTCAACAACTGCTGGGGCTGGTTGTCTCTCTGCCGCAGAGTGTGGTCGAAGATTCGCCTGCGACTTCTTCTGGACTCTGCTTCTATAAGAGTCCTCGGACCGAGCGTTGCTGACACTGGAAAAGCTCGGGGAGCGTCGTGAGAAGTTGCTCGCAATACTCGCCATGCTGAGCTTCCTCATGACTGAATTGGCTGAAGCTCGGATCTGATTCTCAACTCTTCGATTCGACATACCCGGGAATGGCAAGGCCTCCTTGGTCCACACATCTTCCAGTGCATTTTCGAGACGAATACGCTCAGCTCTACGCGGAGCCAGGGTTGGAACAAAATTCGAGGACATGTGCGATTGTGACCGTGTGATCATGCCCGGGGAAAATGTTGGGGGTACATCCGGTAACTTCTGCGCCTGAGTGTTCTTGATAATCACTTGACTGGTATGTGACTTTGCTCCCAAAGTCGCTGCCCGGTGGACAGACATTCGACGGACTATGCTATTCGCATGCCCAAAAACTGGTCCAAGCGACTTGATGTCCAGTGATAACGATGTGAACATGTCTTGCATAGTTGATTGGCCTTCGACAAAGTCGTGAGTCTCGTAGACGATACGCTCGCGGAGCTGTTTCTTCCAAACCTCTTCTTCCAGTACAGAACACCCACTCAGCATGATCTCGTGTAGGCGGTGACCATGCTCAAACACAAATTTCCAAGTGTGAGGTGCAGTGTGACATTGTATACCTGTAGGCGTTAGTTCAGCATCCCAATGCCGCAGCTGTGTTCTTACCCCTCCCATTGTCTGACTCTTCGATGCTGCCATTGGCGAGGCCGATGGATGCTACAACAGTGTACGGAGAGTGAAATCGATTCGTCGTTGCGAGGACAAGACAAGACTTGTACAAAACACAAATCATGTACTGTCCCTTGATGCGTTCAGGCGTCTGATAAGTAACATGCAAGACGCCACAAAGAAGGACATGGCCAAGCAGCCGAAACACCAGTGCACGCGAGATTTGCTACAGGCTATCAGTAGGAGAGACGAGCATTGGCGCTCCACTCACCTGTTCTTGGAAAGCGAGCCGATCCTGTAGTTGCCAGGTGATCTCGATCAGTCGCCTTGTCCTCGGATCGTCTTTGGCTTTGTTGACTTCACGAATCGTCTCTTGCAGACGAAACAAAGCCTTCTCAAGCTCAGCATGTGCCTCCGGATCGTCATACACTGGCGTTTGGCGACAGAGATCTTCAAAGAGCAGAGGATATTTGCAGACGCGTTGTATTGGCTATGCTGAAGTTAATGCATCGCTCTCATGAAATGTGTGTCAGTCACAAACCTTGATAAGCAAATCGGAAAAGCTAAGTGCCTTTTTCCTTCCTGCGTCGCGATTGTTCTCGGACGCTACGACATTCTGTAAAGCCTCGACGCCTCGTTCATAGTCTTGCCAGCCATGAAGTCCCCTGCACATCATGGTAAGGTCTTGAGACATGGTCGTCCAATGCGCGCCATACTCTTCGTACGTGAAGAACCGCTTCATCTTGGTTTGTTTAGCGGTGATGACGACCTCGTTCAAAAAGTAACCCACGTGTTTATTGAAAATCTTCGCAACATCGTCCACTGTCTTGGTATCAGTCACCAAGCCTCGTGGCCTGCGGTCTGGAGATCTGCCAATCTCAAGAGAGTGCCGAAGCCTCCGAGTTGCCTTGTGTTCGGCGAAACGACCTGGCATGATGTCTGCGCTGTGGAAGCGGATGTGTTTCGCCTTGGTCACTGGGTAATTCTCTTGATGCGCGCTTCTGGTGAAATCTGCTTGTGGCACGACTCGGTGAAGATCAGCAAGCAAGTCTTCGTGCAGTTGAAGGATCTGAGAAATGTTTTGTTGTATTGATGATCTCGTTTGGCCCGAGAGATTAGGAAGGGCTGTAAGAATCATGAAGTAATCCTGGGTAGTCAGCATTGCAATGCCATGTGAATCGCAAGCTACGCACATTGATCAGGACCTTGAGGTCCGCAACGTAGCTCTCTTCTGAAGCAACTAGCTCTTCAATGACTTTGCGGCGTTGCAATGAACGAAGCCACGCACTCTCGTCAATGACTGGCCCCAGCGCACCACGATGACTCTCGCCAGACTTGCGAGGCTCCGAATAGTGACTGCTTCTATTTCCCATACGTTTCCCCTGAATACCGATTTCAGATCGTGGAGCTATACTAGTACCTGCAATTGTGATTGAGGCTGACTTCATAGCAGTCACGCAGCCCATGGACGAGGACATGGACTCCGATGTCCTGCCCTCCGACTCCGGTAGTAGTCGCGACGAAGCCATGTCAAAGTCCTGATCCACTGCATCGAAAGACAGACGCCCGACCTCGGTCCTATGCTCCTTGCGTCTTTGCGCGTGTCGCCTCCTCAATGTACTCATCCATCGTCGGAAAGGCTGCGAAGTAGCTGTGACAGGGACATTTGCTGTCACCCGCTCCTCTTGTCTCTGGTTCACACCACTGTTGTCCAAGGATGCAGCCTCTGGTGATGTAAACTCACTGGGCTCGTAGAAGCTGAACATCTCAGGCTCCTCAAGCTGACTATCATTGACAGCACCGGCTTCTGGAGAGCATTCGGTACTCGAAGACAGCTCAGCGACATGCTGCACAGCTTTGCCCACTTTCGAGTATGGGCTCGATGGGGCAGCCACTCGTGAGAAGGATGGCGGTGGTCGGTCAGGTCCACACGCACGCTTGCGCGGCTCACTGCTGGTGTGATTCAAGCCAAAGGAAAATCTGCTGTTCTCGGGATCCAGGTCGAGCAGTGATTGGGAAGTGAGAGGTGGTGTGTTCTCGTTGCCGCGTGGCCAGTCACCAGCTCTGTTGGCTCCGAGGGAGTACAGCGAACATGCAGAGACATTGCGAGTGGTGATGTCACTTAACGGTCCTAGTAGCGAAGGTTCCTTCAAGGGCGAGTAGGAGTTGAGGTAGGGATTGTCGCTAAAGGAGCGTTTGAGCGGACTGTGAGAGCGGAGCGACAGCACGTATGCCATGGCGAAGCTGGAGGTGCCAGTGGCACTAGGATTGGGCAAGTGTGGGGATTTGGAGCGGCATGAGATAAATACTACTGCATCCAACGGTGATGACTTAAGGAAAGACGAGTATGGTGGCAAAGCTCAAAAGACTGCAACGAAACATGATTGCGTATGGGAAGTGATGCACGTTGAGAGAGGAAAGCGCATGCAGTTTGGGGGGTTGAGCAGGAGGGACCGTTTTCAGCATGGAATGCAGGCATGCCATGGAAGAGGAAAAGAGGAAGAGAAGAAGGAGGAGGAAGAGAAGAAGAAGGAGGAGGAGGAGGAGGAGGAGGAGGAGGAAGGAGAGCAAGGAGAGCAAGGTGAAGAAGGCGAAGAAGGGTTGAAGCATGTCATTGCACATGTACATCCAAAAGCCTCGAGCACCATGGATGGCTTAATCGATAAGAGCGAGGGGAGAGGGCGAATGCAGGCCGTGGACGGGGAACATAGTACGCCGCGTGTTGTTGTCCTTGGTACTTTGTTTGGTAGCTGCAAATCACCATGAGGGGAAGTTGCGTCTGGGAGGGGCGGGGGGGGGGGAAAAAC